ATGTGTTTCATGCAATATGTACATAATCTACTGTATGCAGGTGCTCCTCGACTTTAGGTGGTTTGACTTTATTATATTTCGACTTTACCTTTCAGATGAAACTTAAGATAATTACCCTGCATGAAGGCAGCAAATCCATAACTTGTCTTCATTTATTTACTTATTGATATTGGTATTTAGCTGCAGTAGTTATTTGTTTATTTACTTATTCAGTGACAGTAGTTATTTATTTACTTACAGGCAGACCTCACTGTACACCATTTCACTAATGCAACTGAAATTCCTAGGCATGCTAGTGGCCTTCTTTGTAATTATTATTTTTAGCATGTAAACCTCACATTGTAAGCTTTACAAGGAAATAAACATTTTGATTTGATTTTGAATTACTTATACCCATTCCTCATTTATTGAGACTTCCTACACTAAATATATTCACCACTCTCTGTAAGCTAAGGATTAAAGTATTTTAAGGTAAGTAATTTTTGTACTGTATATGCATTTTTTATGCCTAGCTTTAATGCACACTAATTATATGATTATGTAAACATGTTATCAGGCTTTTATTTGCATTTGAGAGTAAAAAAAGGCTATGTTTCACTTTAGTGATTTTTCACCTTGCAGTAGTAGCCCTGAACCTAACCTGCTGTATAAGTGGGGCCCTCCTGTATTTATTTAGCACTAGAGATGTCCTTTCTAAGGGCAGTGTTTGGTGTAAATATTATGCAGAGAATTCGTGTGTGAGCTTGTGAGATAGGAGTGAATGGAGACGAATGGTTTTTGGGACCTGACGAGCTGTTGGAGTTTGAGCTGGGTAATATTTTGTGAAGGGACTTGATTTCTGGAAGTGGGAAGTACAGTGGACCCTCGACATTCGATACTAGTCTGTTCCTGAGAGCTAATGAATGTCGAAAATATCGAAAGTCGAATTAATTTTCCCCATAAAAAATAATGGAAACCAAATTAATCCATGCAAGACACCCAAAAGTATAAAAAAAAATATTTTACCACATGAAATATTAAGTTTAATGCAATAAAATAATAACAATAACAGCAATAAGAATACATTAATAACAATAGAATAATTGACACTTACCTTTAATGATGATGATTGATGGGATGGGAGGAGGGGAGTGTGTCAGGGTTGTTACTGTTTAGAAGGGGAATCCCCTTCCATTAGGATTTGGGGTAGCAAGTTCTTTTCCGAGGTTACTTCCCTTCTTTTAATGCCACTAGGACCAGCTTGAGAGTCACTGGACTTCCGTCGCACAACATATCTGTCTATAGAGGCCTGTACCTCTCGCTCCTTTATGACTTTCCTAAAGTGGTTCACAACATTGTCAGTGTACAGGTTGCCAACACGGCTTGCAGTAGCTGTGCCAGGGTGATTTTCTTCAAAAAAGGTTTGCACTTCAAGCCACTTTGCACACATTTCCTTAATCTTTGAAGTAGGCAACTTCTTCAATTTCTCTCTCCCCTCCTCCGAAGCAGTTTCCTCAGGTCTGGCCTCTTGCTGTTGAAGATGATCTAGCAGCTTATGAGTGGTTAGTTCGTCATTGTCCTCCTCCACCAACTCTTCCACATCCTCCCACTAACCTCCAGCCCCAAGGACTTCCCCAATGCCACAATGGATTCCTCAACTGGCATAGGATTCTCAGGGTTAGCCTCAAACCCTTCAAAATCCCTTTTGTCTACACATTCTGGCCACAGTTTTTTCCAAGCAGAGTTCAAGGTCCTCTTAGTCACTTCCTCCCAAGCCTTACCTATAAGGTTTATACAACTGAGGATATTAAAGTGATCCTTCCAAAACTCTTTTAGAGTCAGTTGAGTTTCTGTGGTCACTACAAAGCACTTTTGAAACATAGCTTTTGTATACGGTTTCTTGAAGTTGGAAATGACCTGCTGGTCCATGGGCTGCAGGAGAGGAGTGGTATTAGGAGGCAAAAACTTGACCTTAATGAAGCTCATGTCCACAGAAAGTCGCTCTGCCATGTCTGAAGGATGACCAGGGGCATTGTCTAATACCAGGAGGCACTTAAGGTCTAATTTCTTTTCAGTTAGGTAATTTTTCACAGTGGGGGCAAATGCATGGTGTAACCAGTCATAGAAAAAGTCCCTAGTGACCCATGCCTTACTGTTTGCCCTCCACAGCACACACAAATTAGCCTTGAGGACATTCTTTTGCTTGAACACTCTGGGAGTTTCAGAGTGATACACCAATAAAGGCTTCACTTTGCAATCACCACTAGCATTGGAACACATTAACAGAGTAAGCCTATCTTTCATAGGCTTATGTCCTGGGAGTGCCTTTTCCTCCTGAGTAATGTAGGTCCTGCTTGGCAATTTCTTCCAAAACAGGCCTGTTTCGTCACAGTTAAACACTTGTTCAGGTTTCAATCCTTCAGCCTCTATGCACTCCTTGAATTCATGCACATATTTTTCTGCCGCTTTGTGGTCCGAACTGGCAGCCTCGCCATGCTTTGTCACACTATGTATGCCACTACGATTCTTAAATCTTTCAAACCAGCCTTTGCTGGCCCTAAAGTCACTCACATCAGCACTAGTTGCAGGCAATTTCTTTACCAAATCATCATGCAACTACCTAGCCTTTTCACAAATGATCGCTTGAGAGATGCTATCTCCTGCTATCTGTTTTTCATTTATCCACACCAGTAACAGTCTCTCAACATCATCTAACACTAGCGATCTCTGTTTCGAAAACAAAGTTGCGCCTTTTGCAACAACAGCTTCCTTGATTCCCTGTTTTCCTGCTCACTATAGTAGAGATAGTTGATTGGGGTTTACTATACAACCTGGCCAGCTCTGACACATGCACTCCACTTTCGTACTTTGCAATTATCTCTTTCTTCATTTCAATAGTCATTAGCGCCTTTTTTCTCGAAGGCTTGGCACTAGAAGCTTTCTTGGGGCCCATGGTGACTTATTTTGCAGAAACAAGCACCAAAAAAAGTGATAGTATGGAATGTACCGAATGTATCCTTGGATGCGCGCACACTGGCTGGCTTGTAAACACTGGCACACATGATGCACTTCAGGCCACACGTGGACACATCTCGTACGAAACGAGACGAATCGCATCGAATGTCGGGTTTTCCATCGAATGTCGAGGCGAAATTTTTGTGTTAAAATGCATCGAATGTCGATGCCTTTGAATGTCGGGGGTCCACTGTACAATGCCTGCACTTTAACCCTTTGACTGTTTTGGTCGTATATATACGTCTTACGAGCCACTGTGTTTGAAGTATGTATACTCATAAATTCTAGTGGCTTCAAATCAAGCAGGAGAAAGCTAGTAGGCCCACATGTGAGAGAATGGGTCTGTGTGGTCAGTGTGCACCATATAAAAAGAATCCTGCAGCACGCAGTGCATAATGAGGAAAAAAAAAACTTTTTTTAATTAAAATGCCAAATTTGTGGTCTATTTTCGTATAGTATTTATGGCTGTATTCTCATTTTCTTGGTTTCATTTGATAGAATGTAAAATATATTATATAAATAGAGGTGATTTTGATTGGTTTTACTATAAAAAGAACCTGGAAATGGAGCTCAAAGTAGGGGAAATGCTTGATTTTTGCAGATGTTCAAAAGTAAACAAATGATGTCATTGTCCAATAAATGTCCAACTAGCCATTCTAATATGCAGTCATGAATGGGTTGACATTATTTATACAATTATTACAATATTGCAGTAGTCTGCATAACACTAAATCTTCTATTTTTTGTTTGAATAAAAATTCAAAACAGAAAGCAAGAGTAATATCAGAGGGGCCTGGAGACATGACTGATGAAGAGAGTAAATGTTATTTTAGAGCCAGGAATGTCTGCATTGTTCATTCTGGACTCTGTTTTGAAATTGTCATGTTTTTTTAATTTTTGTGAAATTGGCCAAATTGCAAATTTCTGACCATGTTATTGGATAGTTGAAATTGGTAAAGAGGCAGTACACGTATCTTGTACTCAGTCGATAGAAAAAATGGAGTTCTAAAGATATAGCTATGAGTTTGGTTGACTGAAACAACGGAATTAGCCAAAAACAGGGCTCAAAGTGGGCGAAATCGCCGATTTCGTTATTATCCGCCGAAGTCGCTAACTTCGCGAGAGCGTAATTTCATCAGTTTTCCATCAAATTTCATTCTTTTGGTGTCATTGCAATCGGGAAAAGATTCTCTATCATTTCATAAGAAAAAATAATTTTTTTTTTTAAATTTTTGCGACACCGGGAGACACCTCAGGATTTGGGGTTGCGACAGTCATGGGGTTAAAGGAGGGGTTTGGGATATTGGCAGTTTAGAGGGACATCTAAACTGTCATATCTTAGCTCCTCTGCAAAGACAGTGATTATATATGAGTGAGGGTGAAAGTGTTGAATGATGATGAAAGCTTTTTCTCGTTTTTGGGGTCACCCTGCCTTGGTGGGAAACAGCCGACGTGTTAAAAAAAAAATCATATTCATATTTGACTTACAGTAGATTTGTCAGAATGTAATGCCATTGTAAGTCAAAAGCATCTGTATTCTATTACTGCATATTTTTTTTCACTGTTTGGGTTGAGGCTCTCTTAAAGGTGTTGATCTGCAGTTCCTGTGCCTTTTGAGGGTGAATGTGTTAAACCAAAGTTCCTGAGTCTCTTCAAGATGTTGACCTCCAGCTCACATATCTTTTGGGAATAAAATCACATTATTATTATAATCAAAAAGAAGCGCTAAGCCACAAGGACTATACAGCAATAAAATCACAGAATGGATGGGAAGGGTTGAGCTGTAGATATTAGGACTCTTCAGGGAGTTTAGCTACAGCTTCTTTGCCCTTTGAGGGTTTCTGGGTTATACCTCTACTATTACTACTATTCCTCTTAAAGGCTTGGAGATTGAATTACTGTGCCTCATGTTTGCATCAGGTACACGGGGTGGGGGTTATGAAATGTGAGATACTTTTCTTCTATCGTGCAGTGACTGAAGCAAATCTATTTTTTCCTACTTTCAGAATAACCCACATATTGTGCGTCTAGAAGTTACACTTCGATATAAGCATCCTATGAAACATCCTACATTTGTCTCTGCCCAGCAGTCATTTTACCTAAATTCTTGGACCTTGCCAATCATGTTCCCTGTTCATGGAGATAAGTAAGTGTTATTGTCTTTAAATTAATCTTTTTTATACAAAAATATGCCATTTAGGTAGGGAAATAGTTTTGGAGTGGTTGGTGCATTTATTCAATAAATGCATCAATGGAGGAAAGGTTCCTGTGGAGCCACCTAATTATGTTAGTTTGGGAAGACTGTGATTTTGGGAGATTCTAAGGAGAAGTTGCAGAGGTTAGTGGATGAATTTAGGAGGCTATGTAAAGAGGAAAATTAAAAATGAACATAGGAAAGAGCAAGATGATGATGGGTAACAAAAAAATGTAGGTAATGAAAGACTAGATATTAGATTGGAAGGAGAGGGTATGGAGGAAGTGAATGTATTCAGATATTTGGGAGTGGATTTGTTAGCAGATGAGTCTTTGAAAGACAAGGTGAGCCATAGAATTAATGAGGGGAAAAAAGTGAGTGGTGCACTGAGGAGTCTGTGGAGAAAAAGAACATTATCTTTGGAAGCTAAGAGGGGAATGTATAAGAGTATAATCATACCAGTGCTCTTATATGGGTGTGAAACATAGGTAGTTAATGTTGCAACAAGGAGAAGGCTGGAGTCAGTGGAGATGTTGCATCTGAGGGGCAATATGTGGTGTGAGAATCCATAACCTGGAGATTAGGAGGAGGTGCGGGGTTACTAAAAGTATTATCCAGAGTGCTGAGGAGGGGTTGTTGAGGTGGTTTAGACATTTAGAGAGGATAGAACAAAATGACTTGGAGGGCATATTGATACTGTAGTGGAAGGAAGGCCTGGTAGAGTTGTCCTAGGAATGGTTGGAGGGAGGGGATAAAGGAAGGTTTGTGTGGGAGGGGCTCGGACTTCCAGCTAGGGTTTGTGAGGGTGTTAGATAGGAGCAAGTGGATGCAAATTGTTTTTATGCCTTGATGTGCTGTTGGAGTGTGAACAAAGTAACATTTATAAAGGAATTCAGAGAAACCTGTTTGCCAGACTTGAGTTCTGGAGGTGGGAAGTACAGTGCCTGCACTCTGAAGGAGATGTATTGATATAATGCAATTTTTGAACTGCAGTATCACCATGTCTCTGACAAGACAGTGATGGAATGAATGATGATGATGAAAGTGTTTTTCTTTTCTGGGTCACCCTGCCTTGGTGGGAAATGGCTGATGGGTTTAAAAAAATATCTTGTTGTATTGTATTGATAATGGTTAGTTTTGGGAAATAATCTGATGATGCAACATATCCATTACAATGACAGTTTCACAGCTGGCAACATTAATGTTAAAACCAAAATCTGGATCAGGGATTTCTTTATAAATATGTGTGTGTGTGTTCCACAGGTTGCCCATAATCTGTGCATCATAACGACAAACTGTTTACAATGTGTATACCACTGACACTCTATAATCATTACCAATCCTATTACTTAACTTGATATCATCACTCATGTGATTACACTTAGCATTATTGTCATAGCACCAGTCTCACTGCAACACTCAACATTATCACCAACACCACCACCGTCAACTTACTAATCATTTTTATCACCAACACCCCTTCCATTGATGCTCAAGCTAGAATAGTGAATCCAAAACAAGATCCAACATGGGGTATGGACATGAAGTGGAAGGCAGAGTTAGGTATACTGAGCAGAAGAGCATAGGGAAGTCCAAGATGTTGGTGAAAACTAGTACAGGTCTGCCATCATAAATCCGGCAATCAGTTACAGTGGACCCCCGCTTCACGATATCAATCCGTTCCTGAGAGCTCATCGTAAAGCAAAATTATCGGAAAGCGAATCAATTTTCCCCATAAGAAATAATGGAAATCAAATTAATCCGTGCAAGACACCCAAAAGTATGAAAAAAAAACTTTTACCACATGAAATATTAAGTTTAATGCAAAAGAATAATTACAATAACAACAATAACAATAGATTAATAACAATAGAATAATTGATACTTACCTTTAATGAAGATTTGGTGATGATTGATGGGATGGAAGGAGGGGAGAGTGTGGATGGTGTTAGTGTTTGGAAGGGGAATCCCCTTCCATTAGGACTTGAACTGGCAGCCTCACCATGCCTTACCACACTGTGCATGCCACTATGATTCTTAAATCTTTCAAACCAACCTTTGCTGGCCTTAAATTCACTCACATCACCACTAGTTGCAGGCAATTTTTTTACCAAATCATCATGCACTCTGACACGCGCACTCCACTTTCGTACTTTGCAATTATCTCTTTCTTTATTTCAATAGTCATTAGCACCTTTTTTTCTCGATGGGTTGGCACTAGAAGCTTTCTTGGGGCCCATGGTTACTTATTTTGCAGAAACAGGCACCAAAAACAGTGATAATATGGATAATATGGAATGTACCGAATGTATCCTTAGATGCGGGCACACTGGCTGGCTTGTAAACACTGGCACACACCGGGCAGTTCAGGCCACACATGGACACGTCTCGTATGAATCGTATCGCATACCGGGTTTTGTATCGGGAAGCGAGACAAATTTTTTTCGATCAAATGCATCGGCAACCGGATTTATCAGATACCGATAGCATCGGGAACCGGGGGTCCACTGTATTCGGTTCCTTCAGTTATTCGGCACTAATTTTGGCTAGCATAATTTTAAATTTCCAGGGTTGGCATGCCAACCTGCTGGTACTGTTTGGTGGCGCTACTTGCTGCACAAGCTATTCCAATTTCTTTTTCTCCATTTATTGTTTTAACCTGCTTACTTTTAGCCCTAGCCATGGTTCCAATGAATAAAAGAAATGCTTCTCATTATGTAAAGCACCTACACAGTACATTATCCATTAAAGATAAGGTGGCTTTGAAGCCACTGTCGGTTGTCGTGAGTTGTCTCATGAAGCAGGAGAATATGCTTTATTGTTATGCTAATATAAAATTACAGCTTATTTGCCTATCACAATTGATCTAATATGACATAATAAACAATATAAATAACATAAAACATGTTAAATACTCCAGAATAAATAATATTTGGCATAACACCGAGCAGTTCGATGGAGGTATGAAGAGGATATGGGATACAAGTACCATTCTCCTATCCCTGTCTTGGTGGCTTATATTAGAGAAAACGGAGTATAGCACAGGGCTAACTGTGATATACACTCATACTGCACCATAAACCTTAAACAAAAAAAGTTATTTTCTCTCTATAGATTCTCACACATAGCAGCATATGTGTAGAGAACCTAGGATAGCCCAAAAAAAGTCAACATGGCTTATTTTTAGTACCTGGCTTGGGTTAGCCATATATGATTTTTGGTAAATATTCGATTCCCAGCCAGGTTAGAAACATTAGGCGTGTTTCTTTACACCTGTTGTCTATGTTTACCCATCAGTAAATGGGTACCTGGGTGTTAGCCGACTAGTGTGGGTGTTATCCTGGGACACTGACCTAATTTTCTTGAAATACTCTGCATAACAAGTGGCTTTCTATATAGTAATATGTCACTGATGTCAGCCAGGCCTGTATACCTTGTACATGTATGTGTAGTAAATAAAAGATATTATTATTATTATTATATTATATTTTCTCAGTTGTTTGTTGGGTTATCTTATTCAAACTTGGGCAATGTATGATGGAAAGATACTTCTTCACGTACACCAAAAATGAAAGAAATCAGACCATAAATAGCGGAGTTCACTTCTCAGCCATTAGCGGCTGCTTAGCGGTATATTTTTGTATGGTTGTTATGGTTATATTCTCATTTTTTTTGGTCTCATTTGATAGAATGAAAGATATATTACAGAAATAGATATGATTTTGATTGGTTTCGTGTTGAAAAGTACCTTGAAATTGCGCTCACAGTAGCGAAAATGTTCTATTCTTTAGCGAAGCTCAAGAGTAAACAAATGACGTCAACGTCCAATACCTGTCCACCTGCCAGCCCAATACAGAGCCAAGAATGGCTTGACATTATTTATACAATTATTACAATAATGCAGCAGTCTGCATAACAGTAAATCTTCTATTTTTTTGTGAATAAAAATTCCAAATGAAAAGCAAGAGTAATATAAGAGGGGCCTGTAGTCGTGACTAATGAACAGAGAAAATGTTATTTTAGTGCCAGGAATGTCTGCATTGTTTATTCTGGACCCTATTTTGAAATTGGCATCTGTTAAAATTTGTGTGAAATTGGCCAAATTGCCAATTTCTGACCACTTTATTGGGTAGTTGAAATAAGTGAATGGGCGGTTTCTTGTACTCAGTTGACAGACTAGAAGTAAAAGTAAGTTTATTCAGGTATACACAAATACAGTTACATAGATTATCATACATAGCAGTGCATGTATAGAGAACCTAGGATAACCCAGAAAAGTCAGACAAAGTGACTTATTTCCAGTACCTGGCTTGGGCTTGCCATATATGATTTTTGGTAAATATTTTTTTTTCTCGGTTGTTTGTTGGGCTATCTCATTGAAACTTGGGAAATGTATGATGGAAAGATGCTTCTTAACATAAAAAATAAAAAAGACGGGCGATAAATAAGGGAGTTCACTTCTCAGCCATTAGCCGCCTCTTTGCAGCATATTTTCGTATGGTTTTTATGGTTGTATTCTCATTTTTTTGGACTCATTTGATAGAATAGAAGATATATTACAGAAATAGACATGATTTTGATTGCTTTCATGACGAAAAGTACCTTGAAATTGAGCTCAAATTAGCGGAAATGTTCGATTTTTTGCCAATGTTCAATGAACTGTGTAAGTCAAATTGGTTAATTTTATTAAGTGTATTCTAACCTAACCACTCTGTAATTTGGCAAACTCAGTAATCCGGCACACTACAGGTCCCAATGATGCCGTATTTGTGATGGAGGATCTGTACAGTGCAGTACTGTATTGTATTAACTGGAATAGTTATTTTTAGTGGCTTACCAGACTACATAGAAAGTAGCATTTCATTAGTGGCTTACCAGACCTTACATAGAAAGTAGTGCTTCATTAGTGGCTTACCAGCCCTTACATAGAAAGTAATGCTTCATTAGTGGCT